CTAGGGTTTTTGTGACAGTTATCCGTCAAGTTATGTAGATAAGACCTAGAGCACAAAAATAAGGCAGAATTGATGCAACAGTACATAGTGCCAAAAAAACTGCAATCAAAGTTTGTATGGACAGGCTAGGACAGGTACTAATCTGCTTGGCCATCTGCTGTTATCCTCAAATTGTGAAGTAGGTCAGAGGGAAGAAAATACCTCCCTGAGAGCTGACTAGCAAGCCAAACAATATCAGGCTATCAACCTGAAGCCAAAATCACTTTCAACAGAATCACATGTGCAAATCTAGCAGCGTTGTTCCTTTCTCTACCACAATTACATTCTCAAGTGGTCAAGTACTAAGCAAACCAAAGACAGGATCTATGAAAACCTCACTCGTCACACACATCAAAGTGCTTTTTAATAATATATAAAAGTGTTCTAACAGAATGACAATGAAACAGTTATATATGCTTAAAATACCAACAAAAATGCAGTATTTTCCCACTTTTTCTATAAATCGTTCTGTCATGTGGCTGCCCCTAAAACTAAAAACTGATGGCTCAGTATCAAAGCCCCTACTGGACCTTATTTCCTATTCCCTATTTCATCACACTTGAGGGTAAAAATTTTCTAACACCAGCTCTACTTGTAGGAAAAAAAAGCTTTTAAATAATAATATTTGAGAAATGGTTTTTTATTACCAGTTATACCTCAAATTGCACAGACAGTATCTTGACGATAAAAATAAAGCAGAATTCATGGAACAGTACATAGTCACAGAAACAGTGAAACCAAGTGTGTATGAACAAGTAAAACAGTTAAGACATGTACTGATGTGCTTGGCAATCTGCTGTTATCCTGAGATTTCTGATACATGCAGTTACATGTCAACACAGTGCTCCACTTTGCCTCAAGTGTTCAAACGGTACCCAACACCAAAGCTCAGAGTTCCAACACACAGACTCACAGAGGAACCTTGTGAATCAAGAGTAAGGTAACAAAGCTAAACAGCAAACGTGATTTCCATAAAAATGAAATTAAATTAAAAACACCGGCTTTACAGCATCAGGGAACCAAAGGGGGTTTGCTCCCTAAAACTAAAAATACCTATGATCCTGGCATATGTTTAACATACAGTTTTGCACACGTATTTTTCTACAAATGACTGCCAAACACTCCTCCAGAAGCTCCCCCAAGTTTAAGAACACACTCAAATTAACAGAAAAGTATTTCATCAACAGGAACTGCCCGACACTGCCTCTTAGCATTAGCAAACGTGGGCAAAGTTTACCACATGCAAGACAAAGCCAACCACACCTTCAGACACACTCATAACTCAGGCAATACACTCCAAGCCACACAGGTAACACCCAGAACACGGCTGTACACCTCTAGGATCCCAGCTCTTGCGTTAAGTCCCACTAGACCCAAGAAAAAAAAGCCCAACTTAACCCCAAATAGGGTCCTGAGCACCAACGACTAGAGTGCAGGACAAGAGTCACAGCAACATACAGCACACCGAAAAACGTCTAGGTGCTGGGCACCCCGAAATTTCAAAGGCGGCCAGCCAGACGGCCAGGGTCCAGCCCGCTAAGACCCCCTCACCGAGCCCACAGCCGCCTCAGGCCCCCTTGTCGATGGAACGACTGCCGGTTTCAACGTTAACCCCTCAAACCGTTCGTCCATCTCCCCAGAACACAATTAACAGGCCCTCGACAGCCTGGGGTCTTTGGTGACCTTCTGACGCGACAGACAGCCCCCAAGACCCCCCAAAAAGCTGAAACCCACAACTTCATGCCTCCGCGGCAGCCATCACAGCCAGAAAGCGGGCTTTTTACGACAACTCCCACAATTCCCGCGGCCTACAACTCCCAGCGTGCATCGGGCGGCGCCCCAGTTAACCCTGTCGTGGCGACCGGGCTGGCGAGCCCTGCACCCTTCCTGCTCTTAAAGCCAAACTGTTGCACTTACTTTCACCCGCACTAACCGAAACAAACTTAGGACATTTTGTCAAACAGTTACAGTTATGCTATCTTGTCTCCTTGCCTTATCATACAAATAACCTCAGTTGCCCAGAAAATTATCCCTGACAGAATACTACTTGTTAATCTCCGGAGAGCTCTTAACAGTATTAAATGTTTACAATTTAAGGGGTACCCTTAGGTTCAATTTCATCTTCCCCTTTGAAATTTCTCCACATTTTCCTGAATCATTATAGCCCAGATAGCCTTGTACTCACTAATTTAAAATTTTACCACTAATTTAAAATGTTTTCTAAATTCTGAGAATAAACAAGAAAGACTATACTACAACTGTGCAACAATACTTGACATCTCTCCATTTCATAAGACAAATTCTTTCAACTATATTGAATCGAAAATTTCATGCAACTCCAAACAAGTCCTAATAAAACAATTATGGGCAATATAGCTTTTCAGTTTCCAATTCAATTTTTTAGGAGAAAACCCTGTTTGGCCAATAACAGACTGCTTTCCCTTTCCTCTCGATAGAGATAATAAAAAAATAGCATGTATTACTGCTTTATTCCTTTCTGATTTTAAAATTTCAACAAACAACAAGTATAGACACATTTTAATAACATTTGAAAAATAAATTGAGAGCTCATTTTTTTCAAGAAACAGCACAAACACACATTTTATTCATGAATGAACTCTTTCAAAGTCTTTCTCATTTTAATTAAAAATAAGGGATTTAAAATATATTTCTTTTAAATACTTTGCCCATAATTTCATTAAGGATCAACAAACATTTTTAGAGATCATGTATCATCAATATAAGTTAAATGTCCAAAATGTATACACAAATTGTAACATGCCTAGACATGTAACTGACAGAAAAAAACTATTGTTTGGCATTTGATGCAAGCACTAAAACAACTAAAATTCTCCCGAAGTATCTGCTATTTTAACCACATCCAAATGTAAAATAAAATGTACACAATATCTGATTTTTCCACAGAAATATTTTGCCATTTGAAAGGGCAATCAAAATATATCATGAACTACAAATCACAAAACTCAGAAATCCAACATAAACACAAAAACACAAAGGATTATTGGAGATAATGTTTTCAATAAATTTATACAAAATTCTATTTTAAGTGTGTCCTTTACTATTACAGTCAGCTTATTGCTAAATTTTTTATTTTGTAAACTACAGTGAGAAAATATTCCCCATCATTTTTTTCTCATTTATCATGGGGAGTTTCATAAACAATTAAGAAAAATGCTTAATACCAAGATATAACAATTATATATACATACAAATATGGAATTTTAGTTCATTATACTATTTTAGCTGCTGTATTTTTCTAATTTTCATTTTGCACTTTAATTAGTATCTAGCAAGGCAAAGTTGCATTCTTTCTCTCTATTTTTAATAGCTGTTAAAATATAGAAATGTATGCATGCTTTATATATTATTCTCCTGGTTTAAAAGACATGATTTATAAGAAAGGATAAAAACAAGTCAGAAATGAAATTGATCTCATATACTGTATTTATTAATGCTTACAATTCTCTTCTCAGTGCTATCAGGATATATTTTCCATTAGGAAGTCAGTCATTTTCTTCTTGTATTTTAACCATCAAAATAAAAGGTTTAAAATTAATATATTAAAGAACTTAGTATAAGAATTATGTTTGAAATAGCTTTATAATTTTTTCAGATTAACATAATTCTTAGACTCCTAAGAAGGAATACTAACTTTGAAGTTTGGTATACCCTAAATAAATAATTTAAGTAAGTTTTAACTAATATACTTAATATAAATGCTTTCTTAAGAAGAAAACAAATTTATTCCAGAAATGAATTCTTTAAATTCATATGAAAAAAATTTTAGTATTTTCTCCTAAAGCTTTTAGATTCTATTTTACCACATGAATTTTAATATGTTTTTTTTTTTAAAACTTAAACTCTTTACTAAGATTTTTAAAATATCTATATGTAACTATATTAATATATTTAAAATTAGGAAAAATCTTGTGTATTTTGAAAATATATACATCTCAATAGAAGAGAAACATGGCAATCTCTGTCCTTTTCCAAATGTGATCCTGGTGACAGTGTTAGAATGTCCAAATTTCTACATTTACAATAAATTCTATGTATAATTTCTCTAACTACTTCTTTTATTCTTTTAATTTCATATAATACTTCAAAGCATCTTAAAATGTTTGTCCAGACATTTTAATTTCATTTTTAGTTTATCTGCTTTAAAACATCTGATTTTCATATATGTAATTTATGTTATTCATGCAAATAAACTGCACTAAAAGAATTATTGCCAAAAATAGAATGAGTTGCTAATATTATGCTATCTTGAAAAAGTTAGCCTGTCTTTTCTTATGTTACTTGTATAACATAATTAACAAAAACTGAGAAGTTATACACAAAGTACAAGTTCTGACTGATTAAACAAATTGTTTTTATTTACATTCTAACCCCATAAGACAGTAATTTCCCACCATGAGAGTACAGTCCATAGTTTAAATTTCTCTGTTACCACTCAAATCTTAATTAATTTTAATTCATTGGGCTGCTGTTAAATGATCAGTCTTTTAAATTTATCAAAATAGACTATTTTTATTATCATATTGGTTTACATTTACGTTTTAGAATATCTTAAGTGTCAAAAAATCCCTTTTCTTCCCTGAATTTGCTAAGTATTTTTTAAAAAAACTTTGCACCAGAAGCATAACTTTCATTTTCATTGTGTATAACTTAAATACTCAAAAAGGATGGATCATGAAAATCCTATTATGTTAGTCTATAGGAAGTGCAAAAAGATTTGTCTCATTTTTTATCAAAAAATTGATCTTTTAAAAAATTGCTATCTAATTTGTTTTACTTAACTTAAAAATCATGTTTTTCTCATCTTCATAAAGTTTTATATCAGTTAAGATTAGCAAAGTTTAAGCATTTGTTATTTCTTTCCTCTAACTGAAATACTTTCTTTTGAACTGATGGATAAATAATAGAAAACATTTTTTTACCTAAAGGAGAAAATTCAATTTTAAGAAATCTCCAAAGGGGGAAAAAAAGAATGTTGAAGTTTCTTCAGAAGATGAAACAACATTTTCCTATAGGATAAAAAAGAAAGAAAGAAAGACCATAAGTAAATGATTATGATAATTTCTATTCTATGAAAAATCATAATGGGATGATGAATATTCAAATTTTGGGGTCTTAATTTTAGATAGCAAGGCTTCAATATAATTAAATTAAATTAATGCTGCCAACTTAAAAATCATGTTTTAAATTTTATCACAGGACTATCACAAGGCAGTAATTTCTTAAATTATTAGTTGTCTTGCATTTAATTCTACCATTGACATATTTTGGGGGTCTTATTTATGACTCAGTAGTTTTAAAATTTTTATATTGAAATCATCAACTATTCTTATCTTAGGATGTTTTCTACTAGGTAATAATGCTTGTTTAATACATAGACTACATATATATGTTTAATATATACTTTCTATGTCTTGCACTTCAAACAAACATGTAAAATAAAAAATCCAATCCTAAAATTTCTAACTTTCAAAAGACCTGTCTAGCTTCTAATCAATTTCTCCCAAAAGAGATATTAGAAACATTATACTATAAGAGGGTAACACTAACATGACAAAATATGATTTAGGCTGAATTTTTAAAAACAATTATTCTGCTTCTCCATCTTCCTCTCTCTGCCCATAATTTTCTCCCTATTTTAATGCACGTTTGCATTCATTAACTCACCTGCTTCCAAGGAAATATTAGCTGTTTGGGAAACTTGTAGATACGTTACATGTTCCCTCAGTTTCCTGTGAGGATTAACTATATCAAACCCTGTAAGGGGAAAATGAGTATTATGCTTTTTTTTCTCCCTAAGTTCCTGTTTGTACACCTGTTTTCTAATTCTTCCTTCTGTGTGAGTTCACCATACCCCGCTTATTTTTCCCCCCAACAGACCAACAAGATTTTCCTAACATTCTTCTTCCCAACACTTACGGCCGTTTTCTGGTTTTGTTTCTGTGTTTTGATATATAATCAAGATTTGGCTAAGATTATCTGTCCATCCTCCAAACTTAAGCACTAGTCCCTCTGCAGTAAATGATTTGTGGACTTTCATTCACCAGACCCTAGGAATTTCTTGTTCACCAGGTACCATCACATTTGGAGTTCTCATGTGGATGGACAAATAGAACCACAAGAAAGAATGTGAATCACAGATACAACCCCTCATGTCAGTGACAATTTCTTGCTCAGAACATCAATTCTTGATGCTTTAGACTCTATAAAATTCATATGCACAGACACGAAAAAAAATTCCTTTATGTCACTCTTGGTGAGCTTTGATTATCTAAGCCATTTTTTCCAAAGGATTTGACCTTTATGATACAAATAATTTTGCAAGTGCAAACCAGAGGTTTCTGTTAAAAAGTAGAAGAGTTGGTTCCTCACAAACTCAATCAATTCTGGGGGCACAAGCAGTATGACCCACTATGTCTCTCTCCACACCAGAAGCTTGTTCTGCCCCTGTTATTGCTTTGTCACATGCTGGGGAGAGAGGGGGACTGAAGATAAGCACACAACCATATGGTGCTTCAATTTCTTCTAATTCGATTCCATCACCCAATACAACAGAGGCTGCAGTAAGAGCAGTGGAAGGAGGTAGAACCAAAAGCCAAAGAGAAAAGAGAAAGACTTAAATGAAGATGGGCATTTATTTTTCAGGTCTACCCACTTTCCCAAAACCTTTTATCCAGCAACGGAGGAGGTCTCTGTCCTTAGGTAAGGTTGAGGGGTACAATATGGAAAGCTTTCAATATGCCCAAACCTTACAATAGCCCATGCAATAATATGGTAAGAAATAACTGCAATGTTTTTATATTTAAAATGACAAAGTACAAGCCTCTTTCTAAAATCCTTACAGACATGGTAAGTGAATACTTTTATACCGAACAATACACAAGTGGGTACAGAGCCATAAAAATCTTATAGCTGCTCATCCTCTGTGCTCTTGGCTTCTTTTTCTCCATGAAACAGACGCACCAGGGATGTAGACTTCCACACTAGTCCTCATTCAGGAACCCAATGCCATTGTGACTGGGGAACAAGCACAGCGGGGAGTCTTTAAACCTTTTAGAAAGACTTCTTGCAACCCAACCCAGGGAGGAGGGATTGTAAAGGAAACTCAGCAAAGCATTTTTAGTGCTCTGAAAGAGGATTCCTCCCCTTGCCCCTATTCAAAACTCCATGCCAAATTAATCTGACTCATTAGTTCCTATTGAGACACTCGTTATTTAAAAGAAAGTACTAAGCATAAACTTAGTTATAATCGATTATTTAAAAAGTCAAGATGTATTCATCCTAAACAGTAACAGGTTAACATAAACTGCTTACCTGGATTAACACCAGCTGCAAATGGAGTCCTCATTTGCTGGAACCATCAATGCTGCCAAATTCTCCCCCAACTCTTTCCATTTCAAGAAACCATGTTCCTAGATATAATGAGAATTTTCCTTATCATCAACTTTTAAACATAAACTACAAATCCAATCTAAGACTGTGCAGCATAAAATTAGATTCTTTCTTTTCCCTTCCTCCCTCCTTCTTTCCACCCCTTTTTAAATTAATTTGGGAAATTTCACTACCTTCCCTACTCTACTTTTCCCATCTGGGCATCACTGTAAAATCAAAGGAATCTCTGCTTTCCCCTCATCCTTACTTAACATCCTCTGTAAACACCCCGTGAGCTTCCATGATTTCACCATACTGCAATCCTGGCCAATTTCACCGAGCTCTATCCTCACAGAAATGTAAAATGTAAAATGAGGGGGTTGCACCTGACAATCTCCAAGGTCCCATTTAGCTCCAGCATGCTATATGTGACCATGATGATCCACAGAAACTGGAATATTTCCATGTGAGCACCCACATTTGGACCTCATTTCTATATGTGTTACTGCTGTCTCTGTTTTCCTTCCCCCTCCCAAACACTGATGATTTAGCAGAGGCTTCACTGAAAATCTGCCTTCTGACTAATGCCACAGAACCAGATCTACTGGAGCTTTACCAGAGGGCCTTCAAGTGCAGAGAAGGCTATGGGTCCATTTTATGAATTATTCCTCATTGGCTTGTGAAATGTGAGGCATCTAACTATAAGCCCACTGCATCCATGATGGTATTTACATGTCACTTTTCCTCTTACACATTATTTAAATTTCACAGCTTTAAAGGACATCCTAAAAAGTACATGGTCCTATGTAGTCCATGGATACTATTCCTGTGAACATTTTCCTGAATAATAATTTAACGTCCATTTTTCTGGACTAAGGGTCCCCTCTTGTCTCTATTTCTTCAATCTAATTCATTTCTTTTTTCCCAGCAATTACCTGGTTTCACTGATGATGCTAACTTCATTCTTTCCATGAAGACCATCACTACCACTAGCACCTTTTTCAGACCCAACTGAGGATCTTTTAATTCTTCCGTAAAAAAACTTCTTCTAAGAAAAACAATAATGATGGCTTATCTAGTCACTACTCACACTCATATTTCCTTATTAACTGTCACATTTACTGAGATTGTCCTAGCCGACAGACAAGGTTTAAGCACTGCACATTGGGCCTAACAACCTTATAATGCAGATTCTGTTATCATCTCTATTGGACGGACAAGGAGATTGAGGTAAACAGAAAGTAAGCCATTTACCCAAGGTGTGTTCGCATGACCAAAGGATCCAGTCTGAAACACCACACACTTTGAGGACAGAGCTGGGATCATTAATCGCTACATGCACTGCCTCCCAGATTAAATGAGACTCACAATTCTCATCTCCAGAATTCCCTGATTATATAGCACATGATTACTTCAGAATATCTAGTCTCCTAACTGATGAATTAGCCATAATAAGAATATACATACAGTTATCGTGAAGATTAAATAAATGTATTATAAGTCATTCATGACAGTGCCAAGCACAGAGTAAAAAGTTAAAAAGAAGTGTCAACAATTATTACGTATTGCGTCTCTCAACTTGCACATGAAAAAATTGAGGTTGATAGATGGCAAAAAAAAAAACTAGGAATGAGAACTAGAAGTAATGTACCTTTCTTTAAAAAATTACCATTTATTAATGTAGTGGTAACTTTAGAGACACAATTAAATTTTAAGATTATAAAATATCCCATGTCTTTTATTTTGCACTACTGGTGATTGAATCCAGGGCTTGTACTCCATTACTAAGCTACAACCTGAACCCTATTTATTTATTTGTTTATTTTTTAGTACCAGGGATCAAACCGAGGACCTTGTGCTTTCGAGTCAGGAGTCAGGCATGTCTCCACTGAGCTAAATCCCCCGCCCAGCCCTTTTTAGTTTGTTTGTTTTGTGTTTTGGTACTGGGATCCATCTCGGGACCTTGCACTTGTAAAGCAGGCAGCAAAACTGCTGAGCTAAATCCCCGGCCCCAGCCCTTTTTATTTTGAAACAGGGTCTCACTAAGTTGCCCAAGCTGGACTCAAACTTATCATCTTTCTGGCTCAGCCTCCCAAGTAGCTATGTTGGGCTCCCTGTATTATATTTTCTAGTCCAGGACTTTATCTATTGAACTATTCTCCTTCTCTTGCCAAAAGGTAAATTTGAAGGACACAAGGACTCTGGATTGGCTAGCTCTCTCTGTCCTAACACTTATCCCAGCTTTGCTACCAGTAGAACACCAGTTTGGTTAGAGCAAGCTTAACAAAGGCCTCATACCTACTAAAATCATTTCCATGTTCAGAATGGGTTTAAAGTCTTTTCCAATTGTGATTTTGACTTGGTGAAACCAGTTTCTCACCAGAGGCCTACTAATTCGAAATAAGCCCATTTTATATTTAACTAGAACATAAATAGGTGTTCAGAAAGATATGACTCCTTCCCAAACAAAGGTAGGCTTGCAAGAGTTATACAGAGACTTTGTTTTTTTTCTTTTGGTATTAAGCATGGAAACAGGGCTTTCTGGATGAGTAGCTTACATTGTGTCACTGAGCTATACCCCACCCCAATATAGCAGGTTGGGGCAGGCATCTGTGTACAGCATGGACACAAAGGGCCTAAAATCAACACAATTGAAGCTGGGCTCTGCATCCCAGAATATTACATAGAAATAACACTTTAAATATTGAAGGTATGTTTTCTTTCTGTGTATTCATGGCAGTAAATAAGCATATAATTTGCAATAAACAAATGCAACATTTACATGTCAAAAAGTATAGCATTGCCGCCTGCCTCCCAAGCGGAAGGACCCAAGTTCGATCCCTGATACCAATAAATAAATAAATAAATAAATAAATTATAGCATTACTTACATTGTACATAGCTCTGCAATAAAAACTATTCAAAAAAAAAAAGTGTTTTGTTTTGTTTTTTTGATACCGGGGATCGAACTCGGGTCCTTGCACTTGCACAGCAGGCAGCGAAACTACTGAGGTAAATCCCCAGCCCTAAAAGAAGTGTTTTAAAGAAACACATTTTCAAAAAAAGATTAAAATCAAATAAGCCCAGCCTACTTCATGTTTTTATAACTATGAATCTAAACAATAAGGACATTTTCCTACATAGTCACAATGGCATCATCATAACTACAAAATTAAACATAATTCTCTAATACCCAGGACCTATTCTGATTTTTCCACTTGGAATCTAATTTACCTGATAATATCTGTCTCTATTCTGTCATCAGTTGCAGTACCTGTGTGTTTTTAAGTCAAAGTCACCCTTAAAGTGGCTAATTCCAGCCAATTCTGTTGAGGAATCAGTGTTCTCGCAGAGCTGCTCTGAACTAGTTTTCTGCTAGACCACTATACACCATCCGACCTTGCTCTTATGCCTGTTGGAGATGCCACTTTCAACCAAATATTGCTGAGAATGGGATAAAACATGGCATGGAATCTCACATAGGTATTTCCCTTCAATAATCAGTGTGCTGTGGAAAGCAAAGAGAGTAGGAAAAGGAGACCACAAAACCTAAATGTAGTCACTTGGTTTAAAATGGGGTTGTTTTGCCTAATGGTTCCATACAGGTCATGTAACCCAACCATAGACGACGTAAATGTGGTAATATTCTACAAAGTCAAATTCACTGAGGCTCAGAGGGAAAATCCATTTTAATTTTAATTATATAGTTAATTCAATAAAAGTAGAATTTTAATAGCTCATGGGGGTAAAATGAGTGGATTGTTGGGATTCAGGGTAGGGGAGGACTAGAGAGTAACTTGACACAAATTTTAAGCCATTCTCAGCCAGAGGCCAGAGTAAAATATTTCTTGTCCTTTTGTAGGAAAAAAATTAGAAGAATGGAGAAAATAGATAACTTAAGTTTATCTTTTCTCTTCAGTTCCATCTGCAGACTGTCTCTCTCTCTCTCTCTCTCTCTCTCTCTCTCTCTCTCTCATTTCCTTTTAAAAAATCCTGAGGGTTCCTATATATGAGTCTCTCAAAAACTGATGTGGACAGGGGAAGTCAGTTAAGGCTTTGTCATCTCTGCCCCTTGAAGTTGTGTCAAGGGCTGTCCTTCCCAAGCCACTTAGAGTGAGAATACTACTGGGGGCAGCTCAGCAACTTTCTTTCTCAACCTCTACCTTCTGTCGTTCTCCTCACCTCAGAATCCACAAGCCCATGTTAAAAATGTGTGGTGTGTTGTTGTTTTAAATTGCAATTATATTGATTTACATATGACTGAACTAGTTCAGGAAACACACATTTTATTTTTTTTTCCACTGAAGTAAAACTGTCTGGGGAAAGATAGATAGTTCTTTTCATTAAAACCAAAATATCATATTATGCTTTTCTGTTTTCTTTTCCATTTTAAACAAGGGAATTAAAATAAAAATATGAAGTAGGGAACATTTATGCTGATAATATCAGAATTAAGTGAGAATGTCCATGGACTCTCACATATATGTGCAACTTCCTTACAAACCTTGTTCTGAAAGGCTTACCAACATACTCAAATGTGCATGCACAGAAATGTGTAGAAATGTTTACATTTCTACATATGATAATTTATCTAAAAATAATATGTCAATTCAAAGTGAACAGCCCCCAAATGGAGTCAAAGAACAGTAGAATCCAAAATCCTCAGTATTCTTTAGTCACCAAGAACTTTCCAGAGAAATCAATAAATAAACAAGCTAGTTGTTGGCCATTTCTCCTTACCACTGTTCCAAATAAAGCCTTTAAGCCCAGAAATATGGCAAATAAGCAAGGAATAAAGAAGAGCCATAAGTGTCATAAAGGATCTATGAAGAGATAAAAACCAGGAAATCCAGTCCTGACCAATGACATTCATTATACAGCCACCCAGCATAAGAGCAGATGTACAGACAGACTGCAGTGCGCCTTCCAGTACCTTTCTACCACCCTCCCAATGGGAAGAAACAACCCCCTGAGCCAACCCCATACACACACACTATAGAAAACTGTAAGTGCCTCACAGGAAATGGATTTTTTAAAGTGC